TAGTTTTTAGGGAGATTGTATGATTTTTTTTACCACAAAAAATAATAAAAAGAGGTGAATTTATGAATTTGTAATTTTTAAAGCTTAAACAATTATAAAAAATATGTTTATACTAGCAAGTTGGCTGCTGCGGGTTGTGTGAGTTGGCAAAATTACAACTCATGCAGGATGCAAGTTATGCTAACTTACCTAGCAAAAATTGCAACCCGCAATGCGTGAGTTGACCTATATTACTAATTCTACTTTTAAATGACTTTTTTCGGCATGTGTATTAACATATACATGAACATTACAAGACACCGTGTGTGTGTGTGTGTGTGTCTAATTATGGGTAGTGAAAAGTGTATTATCTCACTCTACTAAATATAATTAATCAATATAACTCATGGTAATGAAAGACTTAACTCAAAAGGTAATCACCAAGTTTTAGTCCAAATTCAAGGGATCCTAAGTTTTTTAAATAAAAATGAGTTTAAATCAATCAAAATCTTTTATATCAGAATATAAATAAGTTTTGGAAGCATGAGATACCTCAGAGGAGTGAAAGAAGTCGAAAACAAGTGAAAATAACTCTTTTAATGTGTGACAGAGCAGTGTGTCATGGCTTGTGCACCTTGCACCATAACGTGTTACTCTCTGTGCCACGCGCTATAGCTTAGGCGCCATGCACCACGACATGTTGTATGAAAATTCAACAAATTTTGTTATCATTTGATAGCAAAATCGGGAAACTTCCTCCGCGCTCTAATTCTCCGTCCGATATCCAAATGACATGACTTAGGTGTCAACAGAAAATTCTTTACATGAACTAACTAATGGTATGAGTTTCATTTTCAAAACAAGTCACACTGGGAAATTGGACATCCAAATGTATTTTAACCACTTTTTACAACTTTCACTCAAAATGAGTGTCCAAAACCCTTAACATGTGCCAAAAGCTTTTCCTAATACCTGAACTATGTCCATTAAATTTAAGACTATCAGTACAACACATCACCCATACTTAAACCATAGTATAACAGAAATTCACTCTTTAACCCTTTTTTTACCAATAACAGAGGGGGAGGCAAATTGGTATTACATTTAGCCCAAATCAATCAAAACATGTTCAAATATTTATTTCTACACTTACACTAGTATTTCAGCCTTATAAGCATATATATCAACATACACAAATATTTAGGGCCCAAAATACAAATCAAACATTTTCAACAATAAAATAGTACAAGTGTGGTGGCATACAATTTAGAATTGACAATCATATACTAGTATATAAAATAAATCTACATTATAGGCATGTAGTAGGAATATGCTAATTTCTAATATTCTGAGTCTTCTCCCTCTCAGCATCAGAACTCGAGCCTATAAAATATTAAATGAAAGGAGTGAGTCTAGCCACTTAATAGTCAAGATAAAACTTATTCTATATAATCATATATCAATTATTAAAAACAAGCACACACATATAAAGCCAAATATGTGAAATAGGAAAAGCTGTCAATCGATAGCTTTAATTGAAGCTTTTTAACGTTGGTTCTAATGAGAATCGACGTTAAAAGCCATATTCATGTCGGTTCTGCTAAGAACCGACGCAGAACCGACATGAAAAGGCATGACATTTTTTTTGTATTTTAATTTTGTTTTCACGCCGGTTGCAACCAAAACTAACGTGAAAAGTTATGTAAAATTTTTTTGTTTTTTAATAAAACATACCACATTGGTTTTGCTTAGAACGGATGTGGTAAGTAATTTTCATGTTGGTTAATTAAATAACCAACATGAAATGTGTCCCTTCTATTTACTTTCATGCCACCACTTTTTTTTAACATTGGTTTTTTTTTAATAACCGACGTTAATTCTATTTTTTGTAGCGGTAATGTATTTACTATTTTCAGTTATTACATATTATTTATTCATCAAGCTATTTTTTTAACTATTTTGCTCATGTAAATATTAATATGTACTGATTTTGTTATTTAATACTTGGATGAGTTTTTTAAAGTAACATTCTGTGCAACGCACAGGTGATAAACTAATTTTTTTAAAAATCACATATATTAATAAAACTCTTTAAAAATAATTTACAACTTTATTGTTTTAAAATAAGAGTATAAACTTTTAAAATATTTTTTATTTAATATTTTATTTGTAAAAAATATTAAAAAGAGAAAATATAATGAAAACGATGATATTAAAACATTGGTTAGAATGGTAATCAAGATTCTTTGTGAAACCCCTAACCCAATTATCCTTACCATTCATTTTTGACATATATGTCCTCAATCAGATGTCATCTTCTTCCACTAATAGGAGCAACACTTCACGTAATATCATCCCGTTTGCCCTCTCTTGACTGTGCTAATGAAGGATATTTTTGGAATTGAATTGGAGGGATGTTTAAGCAGAAGGTAAACGAAAATTAATTTGCAGATCTTTTCTTCAATTTAAAATTAAGTCTCTATAATTTATTTTGTTTTAATCAACCCCTATAATTTGATCTATTAAATATGTTAATCACTGAAGATTACAGTTAATAATAAATTATTAAATTTCTCAAACAAAAAGACTTTTAGAATTTATAGAGAATTTAATTTAATATTTTTAGTCAAAAGAAAAAAACTTGATTTTATACACTGTTTATATTTTTATTAATTTTTTATAAAAATTCTATAAGTATAAAAAATATTTAAAAGACAATATAATTATATAAATCTTGAGTTATAAAAATTATGTAATTAATTCTAAAGCTATATAATCATTTAAAAAAATATAAAAGTTCTTAATTTTATTTTTTAAATAAAAATTCAAAGATTTTAATTTTTTTAGATTAAAAAATTTAATTGATAAAACTATAAATATTTAATCAAAACAAAATAAATTGTAGAGATCTAATTTAAAATTAAGAAAAACTATACGAACTTGCATATATATTTTCTCTTTAATTCAAGGAAGGTATGAGTTATTGCAATGAACGCCCAAATGGTTGATTCATATTCGTGGAAGTGAGAAATTAGTGTGGGTAATCATTTTTGGAGGAATTAGTGGGAGAATGGGTGCCCTGGTTTTGATGCTGCCTGGCCGCCCACTTTTAATGTAATTTTAGACGCATCTCGATTTCACAACGGACTTTTCATTGTTAATGGAAATATCAAATAAATAAATTAGGTATTTAGCCTAACATGCATTGAAATCCCCCGCACACGGTTTCAAGAAATTTCAACCCTTTTGTAGCAGTGGTTCAACTTTGAACAACTCATTACGCGGTGTGGTCCAGTTGAGCGGGCCCCTCTCTCCTGGTTCACCAATAATTCCGCACCATAAAATGGAAATGGATGACGTTAAGCTTCCCTTCCACACCGAGACATCATTATTATCAATGGATAGAGCCATGGAGCGAGGGTAAGGGTGTGCCACGACGCCGCCGCCGCCGGAAAATTTAGAATTGAAACCCAAAGTGCACACCTTCACCCAGACACAATTTGCCTTGGAATTTGAGGGTTTTGCTCATTTTACTCGTTCTGGCCTTAAGGAACAACAGAAGACGTGCGAAGGCAGAATTAGAACGATGACACCAACGAACAAGGCCAGCTGGATATGGACTTATAAGATGTTGAAGATAACCAAATTTTGAAATATTTAGATTTAATTTTCTTTCATGGCTTTTTCTTTATTGATCTCTATCATTTTAAGACATACCTCTATATGGATTCATAGGAAAACTAGATTGAATATTCTAATGTTACTTTTGCACCTTCCAGAATGGCATACATTAATGGGATATTCGAAAAGTAAGCAAAAGCTCAATTTTCATTTTCTATTTGAATCACTTTTCACATATACATATTTGGAAAAACACTAAAATAGACTCCATTCTATTTTATCAATTTCAAAAGCATTATGAATACTAGGGAAGATTTAGAAGCCTTATACATTTAATATGTTTTTATTCCATCGAATCAAGGTAAATGTATTTTAACGTATTGATAATATTAATGGTAAAAATTTATTATAGGATAAATTAATTAATATGCTTTCAGATAATTGTTACTTTTTAGTAGTACGATGTCCCAAACAAAAATGTTTAGAGAAGAACAGTAATAAAAAAAATTACAGTCATTGTACAGTCATTGTATGTTTAATTAGCTTAAAAGGAATTACATATATGTCCTCGATGAGAACGTTAATTACTCTCTTTTCTTTTATTTATAAGTCATTTTCAACATATTTCATCGAAACCAAGAAAAATATTAAATTTCATTTCATTAAATTTATTTTAAAATTTAGAAAAAATATAACTTTAGGTCTCTACATTTTATTTGCATTTTACTATTGATCCTTATATTTTTGTTTGTGTTTTAGATCCTTATATTTTTATTTTTTAATGTTTTAAATCTCTTCATGAACAAAGTGTAAAAATCTTGAAAGGACCTTAAACATTAAAAAACAAAAGTGTAAAAATCTAAAATATTGAAAAAAAAGTACAGGGACCAATGGCAAAACATGAACAAAATGCAGGGAGCCAAAATTATGTTTTCCTTAAGATTTAATAAGTTCCTACATTTACCCCTAATAAATGTTATTAAATCTCATTATTGGTATTTTTATTCAAATTATTTGATAAGGACAATAATGTAAAGAGGAGTATTGGGAATTGAAAAGTGCTCTATAAATAAGATTAAATTTTTTCTCTTCTTTCTACCTTATAAATAAGACAAGAAGAGTACTTATTATAAGTTTAATCTGTATTTGTAAATGAAGAAGTTTAACTATAGAAGTTTGATTTGTAAATAGACTGAAAAGGAATAATTAGTTTTTGTATTTAAGATCTGATTTTAATTCTCTCCATTTGTGTAAAAACACAAGTTAAATGGCAATTAAATTTACAAAATTATGTTCAATTATAAGCTAAATAAATAACAGTAGTTGGAATTTATGAAATTTGTGCTCAACACACAGGAGAGATGTGCAGTGTGTGGAAAAATCATTCCCCGTCCGTCCTACTCCTCATATAAGGTCCTTTTATTTGAGGCCATATCAGAGATGATACGCTTCCATAATCACATCACTGTGGGCATAATGTTATGTTTGAATAGTGATATTGTCACATGTTCATAGAAAAATGACAGCACACTCTCATCAACCATTTGATCAGACGTCCTGCTTAGTGTGAGACAGAAATATATATGTAAAAGGATACGACTAGCTAGGTATAATGTTTATTTCTTTTATTGTCACAATTATTCCTGTGTGTGTGTGTGTGTACACGATCACTTTTGTCCCCAGCTTTATGGAGGAGGTAAGTCACATGCTGGTTCTACACTTGGTGACTCGACCCTCGATTCATTCAAAAACTCTTCCCACACACCTTCCATGTGACAATCCTCTACTTGTGTGCAAACCTCCACGGCTCTTTCTGGTATTCTCGCCTTGAATCTCATCAGACTCGCATATTCTCTCAGAACGTGAAACATATAATCATACACCAGCTTCATCTTCACCTTCTCTTCCACATATTTCGTTCCATCTCTCCCTATTTTTTGTGCCTACATACACAATATCCATTCATTAATTCATCTGTTCAATGTGTGTGTGTATATATATATATATATTCACGTTAACCAGAAACTAATATGATTTGAGAGAACATGGACTTGATCGGGATGGGAATTGCCCCAGTCAACCGCAGACTTAATATCTTGGCACATATTTTTGGTGCTGATGGGCCAGTAATGCCGCCACGGAATCAAGCTTCTTGAATAGAAGTCATAGTACTTGGGTTCTATGAACATGGTCATGGAGTCGCATGCTAGTATGTACTTTTGGCTCACTGACCACGTTACTCCTTCTGCATAAATTTTGTACCTTCACATCAAAATTCAACACAACAGTTAACTTTGATCAATAAAAGAACTATGATCAGCTGATTTTAAAGTAATATTCCTAGCTTTGAGTTAAATCTCAAAACAATCACATGCTTCATAGGAATAGGATCCACGCCAACTTTAATTTAGGAAATTTTACCTGTGGGTACATTGATTTTCTAGCTTTGTATTCCTGAATTTTTGTTTAATCTCCTCATCCCATCTCTGCGTGGAAGAACCAAAAGTTTAATTTGTATAGTTTCCTCTTTGTTCATATGCATTAGAATTAGAATACAGTCGTAGAAGAGATAGAACAAGAACAAAAAATACGAGGGAATATATGTGAGCATTGGAATGATGTGGACGGGAAGCATTGCATTTGAGGAGGTGGTTCCTTGTAGGAGAAGTGGTGGGGTTGCCCTTCCAGAAGGCATAGGGTGTCCTATCCTTCCATTTCATCTTGCCATTCTCTTGCCGTATATTTTGTAGTATCGTCTCCCATGGCCTTATGTTGACCTCACCCCTACGCATTAATTATAACGACGAAATTAGAATTAATCCATTTGAGATCCTAGACCGTGAATGATGAGATGATGAGGCCTAGGGATTTAAATAATTACCAACCCCAGAAGGTCCAATCAGGAAATACGATGTCAAAGGAGCTGTTGTCCCCGCAGTAATGAAACACAGGAGGCGGCGGTGACAACGTAGGACGCGATCCTTGAAAGCTTGACGTCTTCACCACAGTCCTGTCCCCGCATTGAAACAAGAGCTCCAGATCTGGAAGCTTCCCGGGATACATCTTCAGAAGCTGTGTGATTCCCCACAACGTGAACACGTCCCTTGTTTGGAATGCCTTCCTGTATGTCTCCGCGTAGGCTCTTCCCTTGTGAATCACCAGTCTAAAGTCTGCCAGGCTCTTCCCTAATTCCACCATCTCTCTTGTGATTCCTGTGCTCTTCCATGGCTTCAAGTCCTCCTCAATCCACCGGAAGTGCTCCGGGCACAATGCTTTTGACGCCGGCGATGTCATGTTTCCGTTCATGTAATTCACTCCCAGAATTGTTTTCTGTGTTTTCACAACACCACTCATTTTGATAACATCTAATATTTATTATGATATATGCATAGTGCACATTTCACTGTGTGATGCATAACCCCCCCCCCCATGCACATAAATACACATTACTTTTGATAAAATGTTGAAGTTTCTTTAACTTTTCATGGCTAATAATATTTTGTCAAAATTCAAGCCCATTTCTTCCAAAGAAAAATAAAGGTTGCAAATATACACCATAAACAACTCTATTCCCTATCTATAAAACTAATTTAGTATATCAGCATTATATATCTAGCACTGATGACATCAATGTTTTGAAAATGTTTTGGTTGATATATATTACTTTAACATCTAGACATTTGACTCGCTCGCTAGATCCTTTGAATTATATCAAACGAAAAGAATCTCAAAGCTAACTGCGGTCTTTCTGCTCTTTGACAAATTATATATTATGCGAGGGGAGAAAAATATGCAAGACTTGAAAAAACTGGCTGGAAATCAAGAAAAACCGAAAATTCTCTATTTTTTGATTAAAAACTTCACTTATCCAGAAACTTTAGCTGGAACATCGATATCTTATGTTAATTCAGAAAAAGATCAAAAACTAACTGAAACCCACCTTTCAGAGTTCATCAAACAACCATTATATATATTCTTATCACCGTAACCGCATGCATCAGAAGATCAATATAGAAGGGAAAAGAAGGATATGCTCACGAAAAAATCTCAATGGAAAGTTAATAATAATGGGTCACAAAGATTTTTCGAGAAGTTGTTCTTTCTTTAATAGCTGTTCCCAATTTCAAAAGAATTCCAAAGGGAACAAGGCATGATTAAATTCTTCTCTTGGAGAGAAATTAGCTAATACTAAGAGTATGCAAGACTACGAAGAAGTATAGAAATTTGATCATAAATGAATCCTGCACTATAAATGAAGAGCTCCCAGACGAAGACAGGTAAATTAACGCTGTTGATTTCTCATGTAATTCCGAATCCAGAAGTTTGAAGGATAAATGGAAAGAATTGATCAAAAGGTACAGAGAGAGAGAGGGATGACTTACAAGGTCAAGCCAGTTGAAGATGAGAGTGGGGGAAACAAAGAGAAGAAGGAGGAAGACGGAGCAGGAAACAGAGGAGCATCTCTTGGCTATGCCGAAAGATTGTTGAAGTTGATGATGATGATGATGACAGCTTTTCCCGCTGGAGTCAGCCATTGACATGTTCTTGCGTGCAGCGAGCTGATTTCATTGTCATGAACTTTTCATATATATTTATACATAGACCTGTATTCGTATTTGCTACTTTATAATGCCACGGGATCGGGTATAAGGATCTTGATCGATAATATCATAATGAGGCCTCCAAGCTTGTTTCCCAAACAATTCCATATGTAAAATACTGCTTTAGGGAAACTAATTTTTATTATGCTTTCCCTAAATTTTTATTTGGTAATATTTATTTGGTTCTATTTTTAACCTCTTTTTACAAATTTAGAATTTAGAATTAAATGAACAAACTAAAATCATAAATTCAAAATTTTAAAGTATTAAAAATAATAAAATAAAATTATAAATTAATAGAATTGTCAAAGTCAACATCAACAATAACAACAACAATCTTTATCCCATTAAGTGGAGTCAGCTACATGAATTATATGATACTATTATGATATACTCCCTCCGTCTCAAATTATAAAATATTTTTAAACAACATCTCACATACTAATAAAGCTCATTAAATGCACTTTACAATCTCACTTTTTCAAGACAAAAATATAAGTTTTTAAAAATGCCCTTTATTTAATATTCCACTTATGAAAGTATTAAAAAGAGAAAATATATAAGAAGAGTAATATTAAAAATATCATTAAAAAAATATTATTTTTATCAAAGTGTTTTATATTTTAAGGATAGTAAATCTTCTTTAATAGTGTCTTATAATTTGGGATAGAGTGAGTATCGTATAATAATTTTTTATAAATGTTGTTAACCAAGAGATTTTGGTCAACAACTTTTAAAAATGTTCTCTTTGACTTTCCTCTATCTTTCTTAACAAGGCTCAAAGTTATTTATTTCATCCTCTTTACTAGTAACTCCTGCGGTCTTCTTTGTATATGCCTACTTTTTTATATATGTGTTTATTTTAAATTTTATCTTTACATACATGCCTGCATATCTATCTTAACATTCTCATTTTGCTATCTTAACTTTATGCTCTTGGCTCTTGCTATCCCGTTAAAACTCAATATTCACTATCATATAATATAGTTGGTCTTATAGATGTTCGATAAAACTTCCCTAAGTTTATTTGGTACCTCACAATAGCAAATAACTTTTTTAACCTTTTTTCAATTAAATCACTCAGCTTATATCCTATATATGTGCAATATCCTTCAATTTCCTCATCATGTTGAATAATAGCTCCTAAATATATAATCTTTTTCACTTGAGCTATAATTTGATATTCCAATTTCACTTTTAAATTATTATCAAGATTACAATGCAAATATTTCATTTTACTTCTATTTAGGTGGAAACCTTTTGACTCCAATGTCCTTCTCTATAACTCATATTTACAACTAATTTATTCTCTTGTTTTTATAATAAGAACTATGTCATTTGTGAAAAGCATGCATTTGAGAATTTTCTCTTAAACATGTTTAGTCAAAACATCTAAAACTAGATCAAATAAATAAAGACTTAAAGATTATCCTTGATGTAGTTCAATCCTTATTAGAAAGTCTTTTGTTTCACCGCCAAACATTTTTATATTAGTTATTATCCCTTCATATATATCTTGTATAATTTTAATATAGGCAACCCATGCTTCTTTTTTTTTTTCAAAGTTTTCTAAAGTACTTCTCTCATACATGAATCATATGATGCTATTGTGATATAGCATATAACAACCTTTTAGAAATGTTGCTAACCAAGAGATTTTGATCAACAACTTTTAAAAGTATTCTCTTTAACTTTCCTTTATCTCTTTTAATAGGGCTCGAAGTTATTTGTAACATCCCAAAAATTAACCTAAGGTTAATTAAGTTAATTTAGAGCAAATGAGTAATTTTGAAGGAATATTTAGATATAAATAATTAGTTAGAAGATTATTATTGAATTTAATTTAGCATAAATCCAAATTCTAAATTATGATTTTTAGAAAATAGAATTATTATCATTATCATTAAAAGAGAAAAGGGATATGAATGAAATTAAAAAAAAAAAGGAAAAGGAGAAGGGATATAGATGTTGGGGTGTGTGTGTAGTGTGCAATATTATATTAAAAAAAAAGAGGAAAAGGAGAAGGAATATAGATGTTGGTGTGTGCATAGTGTGTAATATTATATAAAAAAAAGAGAAAGAAAAGGAGATGGGAGGCGAAAGAGTGGTGTGAATTATTGTCATGGGACCCACACCCATTTTAAAACACACAAGCCTTTTTCATTTCTCATGATCCCTTCCTCATCTCTCCGTGTGTGCAACAGAGAAGTTCGAAAAAGAAAAGAAGAACAGAGCGAGAGTGTCGCCGGCGATAGGAACTGTTTAGAAGGTAAAGCTTTATAATAGGATACTTCAGATGAGATTTTAAGTATTTTAAAACTAGGTAAGTGTTCTAAATATTTTCTTAGTCGTTTTTTCCCCTGAGATAGCAGATTTTGAGATTTTGAAAAATCTAAGGTTTGAAAGAAGGATGAATTTTTGGTGAGAAAATCTGGTTGTTGAGGTTGCTGGTAGTGTAATAAATATTCTAGAGTATTATTTTGTTAATAGAATTAAAATTTGAGGCATTTGAGTTTATCTATATATTCCTATGGGTAGATTTTTGGTTAAATTCAAAAATATAAATTGATTTGTTAATATTTAGATGATTATTTGAGATGAGAAATAAATTATTATGGCTATAGAATAATGATTTTAGGCTTGAAATCAAGTTTACAATTTTTGGGTATTTTTATGTGCGAATTTTTGGAATAAAAAGAGAAATTTTGATATTAGAAAATTATTTGAATTAAATTATTGTGAAGGAGACTATTGAACCAAGTAGATAGGTTCAAATACATGAAATTAAATTTTAGAACTCAAGAGGCTAAGACTAAGGTCTTAAAAATAAAATGAAATAAAAATAAAATAAATACTTAGGTATTAGAGTATGAGTGAAAATTGTGTTAATAATATTATTGACACATTGGGATATGATCAATTGTAGATTAATTTCTTTTTAACACCATTCAAGCTTTGGAAAGCTTTGAAAGTGTTGTAATTTGAGGGGTAACCTTTGACCTCTCAAAGGTTGAGGTAACCGGGGAAAATCTATTTTATGCATTTGTATGTTACTTAATTAATTATGTTAGTGAAATAAAAGAATATATATATATATATATATGTTTAAATTTTGAAATGGTTGTTTGTAATGCATGAGGCTTTATTGAGAAACTATGACTTGTGACCAAGTTAATTATGACTTGGTGTGAGTAATGAGATTGATGGTTGATGATTATGTGTACACTATTAGATATAAGTTGTGGATTATGCACAGTGATGAATTGTATAAGCATGTGGGATAATTTTGAATTATATATATGAGTTTTTGAAATGCATTTTTCTCATGAGCATGATCATATGGCGGGAGTTCGCCTTAGTGAAGGAGTTAGTGGTTACACAAAATCCATATGATACTTGCCTATTAACCAATAATCCTAGGGGTTATAGCTGCTACTTACCTTGTAAAGTACTGTAGCATTATTCCTATTAAGGGACTTGACCCTACTGGCCTACCTGGAGTTTTGGGTAGAGCTAGTTTTGGATATGACACCCCATAGTGTGTAATTTGGGGGAAACCGTGTTCATAAGTGAGTAAGGTAACCCTGGCCCGGTAGCCCCTCATGATTTGATTAAGGCTTTGGATAGTCTCACCATATGGACGATCCCTTCCGGTTGTTGGCCCACGGATTTCATGTCAAAGGAAATAAGGGGGGATATAAGGAAGAGATTGATCATGCATATTATTATTATCATATCATTTGAGTGATTGATAGCTATGTTGAGAATATGATTATAATTGTGAAAATGAGAATATGTATTAATTTTGTGAATAATGTATATATAGCCATTTGTGCAAAGTTTGTACTTGACTTTATTCTTGAAATTATTCACATGAGTTAAATGTTAATGTGATTAACATGTTATTAATGTGATTGTTCGAATGGTCACCTTGATAAATTTATTAGCCACTTGCATTCATAATTAATTATCATGCATTTGTATAACTTAGATGTACCTTGGTTACTGAGTGGTTGTACTCATCCCTCTCTTTTAACATATTACAGGAGCTAGCTCATCTGAGAAGAACAGAAGAAAGGAGTATTAGGCCAAGTGATAATAATCACTTCTGCAGGCCTCTCTCCTTTTATTTGATATGTGTATTTAGTTTATGATATTGTCAACTAGGATAATATATTCTTGATCCACTTGCATTATGGGTTTTGTGCTGGGGGAAATGTATTTTGGGCCCTGAGAAATGTGGTTTGATGCTTGTGCTATAATTATGGGCTAAAATATTTGTGCAAGTAAAAATAGTTATTATCATGCTTCCGTATAGGTTTAATTAAATGATATGAGTTCTTAAAATATTTTAAAGACTTAGGATCCCTTTATATTAAATAGTTTGAAAAAAAATACATATTAAGAATTCATTTGGGTTAATCTCGTATTGGATAATCCATTTGGGTTAGTCCTTGATTAACCATGGTTAGTATGATTAAGTCCTAATTTAGGATGCCCTTTACATTATCTGTTCCACCTTTCTCACTGGTGCATCCCGTGGTCCTCTTTATATATGTTGAAATTATCTCAAATTATTTTCTATCATTTTCCCCTCAATAGGTGCAATGCCCACTTTTTTATGTATGTATTCATTTTGAATTTTATCTTTACGTATGTACTCGCACATCCATCTTAACATTCTCGTCTCTGCTATTTTAACTTTATACTCTTGCTATTCCGTTAAAGTAAAACATTTACTATCATATAACATAGTTGGTCTTATAGATGTTCAATGAAACTTAGTTTGGTACCTTATAATCACAAATAACTCTTTTAGGCTTTTTTCTAATTAAATCACTTAGCTTGTTAGATATATATGTGCAATATCTCCTTCAATTTCTTCATTATGTTGAATAATAGCTCTCGAATATCTAAACCTTTTCACTTAAGCTATAATCTAATATCCCAATTTTACTTTCAAATTATTATTGATTGACTTCTTATCAAAATTATAATGTAAATATTTCGTCTTATTTTTACTCAGGTGAAAACCTTTTGACTCCAATATCCTCCTTCATAACTCAAGTTTATAGCTAATTTCTTCTCTTGTTTCCACAATAAGAATTATATCATCCATGAAAAGCATGTATTTAGAAATTTTCTCTTACATATGCTCAATTAAAACATCTAGAATCAGGTCAAACAAATGAAGATTCGAAGATTATCCTTGACGTAGTTCAATCCTTATAAGAAAGTCCTTTGTTTCACTGTCAAACGTTCTTATACTAGTTATTATCCTCTCATACATATCTTGTGTGGTTTTAATATAGGCAACCCATATCTTGTGTAGTTAGTCACCGCACCCCTTCTTCACTTAAACATTTTCGCATTTCAATAACGATACAATCAAGTCTATTGATTTTACCATTTACTATTTTCTTAAGAGCTTTCTTTACGTCACTATCACGTATCTTTTGATAGAATGACAAATTTTATTCTCCTTCATGAGTTACTACATCCTTTAAGTTACTAGACGAACCTCCTCCATTATTGAACAGTTTGGAAAACTAGACCTCCCATCTGTCTTTATTATCACCATCCGTGACCAAAACTCTTCCCTCTTCATTCTTTATACACCTTACATATTCCATATCTCTTGATTTTCTTTCCCTACTCTTAGCAATCTTATAAATTTTTTATTATTCATCTTTTGTCCTAAGACCATTGTAAAACTCTTCAAATGCTTTAGAACAAGCTTCACTTATAGCTTTATTCTTAGTTTCCTTCGTAATCATACAATACCTTTCCTAATTTTCATTATTATTACACAAATGGATGGCTTTAAAACACTCCTTCTTATGTTTGGCCTTTTTCTATACATTATCATTTTACTACCAAGACTCCTTATCTCTCGAATCAAAATCTTTTGATTCTCCTAAAACATCTTTAATAACCTTCCTTGCCTTTTTATCTCACAAAATGTTAGCACTTCCCTATGACTGCTAAATTCCTTCGACCAAAAGATTCTTCTTGAAATTAAAAGTTCCTGCTTCTCATCTTTTAACTACCACCATCTAATCCTCGGAGTCACTAGTTGATTTTTACTTATAATACATACATAAAGGATAAGGATCCTGTGTTATGTTGTTAAAACATCTCTAGGATTCACCTTACAATTTTTATAGAGTCTTTTCTTCGTGTTCCTTACTAAAAAAAATTAATCTGTGACCTTGAGATTTCACTATAAGTGATAAGATATTCATCCCTCTTCTTAAAACAAGTGTTGACAATCTTCAAATTTTACACTAAAGGGAAATCAAGAATAGATTATCCTTCATTATTTAGCTTCTCAAAGTCAAAGCCTCCATGAATCCTTGCATAATGACCTACCTCCCTTCTAACATAACCATTAACGTCTCCTTCAATAAAGATCTTTTCACTTTGTGATATATGTTGAATCAACCTCTCCAAGTCTTCCCAAAATAATTTTTTAATATTGGTATCCGCCCTAGCTTAAGGTGCATAAGCCTTAATAATATTGATAGTTTCATGTTCAACAATTATTTTTAAGAAGATAATACTGTTAGCTTCTACTATGTTCTTCTTTCATTCCTTATCCACAATGACACCCATCATATTGTGTGTGTACTTACTTTACTTACATACCAAAGTTTGAAATTTTAAATATCCTTAACTTACTCATCAGGCCATTTAGTTTCTTGTGGGCACAATATATTAATTTTTTTATAAATTATAACTCCTGCCTTTTCCATATATTTATAATTCAAAGTTCCAACATTTCAAATACCAAACCTAATCTTGCTCACAATTCAAAGTCAATGTTTATGGATGAATTTTATAAATTAAGCCTTTTCTTTTAATTTTTAAAAATTATAAAGTTTATGCTACAAGTTTCCATTTCTAACGAAGTACGTGTGTTTGGTTTATACATAAAGAAATTGGTTTAAGTATTATTTACTGATGACAAATAATATTTTCAACTATAAAGCTCTTTGTTTTTATTTTTTGAGTAGTTTCAGCCAGATATGTTTTTTTTTTTTTGGGTTACTTAATTGGTAAGAATAAGGTGTGCAGGTGCCAAATACTTTGTCGGTGTTTAATTTGTAGAGTTGTTATCTACTATATTTTTATATTTAAATTTTAAAATTTTTTATTTAATTTTTTGGTAATGAAAATTGTTTATTTAATTCTAAGTTCTATCAACTCAAAGCCATTTTTCCATTATGTGGGAGAGCAGCAGTTTCCTTCCGTTGCAAATCCGGGTCTCCCTCGTCAAGTCATCTTCAGAGCTTAAAACGCAAGCCGTTTGCAGTACTCCCTCGACTCTTCCAGCGACACAACGAAATCCGCGTTTTTGCATCCCGCTCCAAACGATTGTCGTGTCAGCAGTGGAGGTGGAGGCGCAGACAACGGTATACGGTAACCGGTAACGCTTGTGGGGAGGGTTCCAGAGGGTTTTTTTTTTTTTTTTTTCCTGTTCTTTGATTTTCCTGCTCTCTAGTGTGAAAGACATTTCGCTTCTTCTTTTTAAATGAATTTTGGCTCTTCTCTGTGAATGTATTGAACCGGAATCGCCGCCCAAGCACAGGTAGTTCCACTTCCACCGCTGAAAAGCCATTAAATTCATCTTCGCGCTGTTTTCAACCATGTTCTTTTCATCCCTACTTTTTTCATTTATTACTGAAGTTGTGCTTATCTTTTTCTGTTTGCGCAATTGGATGGGTTTAATTCGTTTTCAAGTGTTTGCTTTTGGTGGGGTTTTGTTTTGTGAAGAAGTGATGTAGCTGTTGTTTGGAATTCATGTTAGCTGAGTTTTTGTTATATTTGGAGGATGAGCTGCTCCGAATATATTTGTTGATGAATTGGTTCTTAATGTCGATAAATTCAATGAGCCGTTGCTTATTGAGAATTTCTCAAGTGTCTAAATTCATGTTTTCGGCTTTTGTTTCACACACACACATTTATGTGGTAAAACGGTGAAATGTAAATCTGAAATTTGATTATCTGATAAAAGGATGCTGTACATATCATTGTGGACGATATCCAAATCTAATCCCTTGCTTTGTATGACAACGGAGATGCCATGAAAGGGGGCCCATTTCTTCAAGGAATTGTTAATATTGAGGTTTTAGTCCAACACCTGTCCTGGCATTACAAAAACTACAAATTCTTAAAAGACATTAGGCATTTATTTCTCCCCAGTTTTGTCAAGTCCATTGCTTTGTTTTCCCCCCCGGAAATGTTGCCAATAACGAAGTTCATTTCATCTAGATGAAAAGAACAAATCTTCCCCATTTTGTCAAGCCCATTCCGTGAATTTAATTTCACCTAGATTAAAAAAAACCTTAACTTAGCTAGGTAAAGTTCGGTTAGTAAATATTTGAAATCATATATTGATCTTCCTTTCTCGGAATGGCTAGCATGATAACATTGTATCAAGAGTTTATGGTGATAAGTATTTAAGCAGTTTAGATATTGAAATTTCTATTGCAACGTATGCCCTGCTAGTCTTCACTTTGATCTGCTGAGACTCTTCATAAGATTAACTTGGACATGCATATTTATATTGTGTAATTACCTATAATTACCTATGACACTCAAATTATATCGTTTTCACTTTTCATTTATCTCTTTTGGTTCTATTTTCCTTCTAATGTCATTCTGACTTAACATTCATTCAAGTATTGTTTCAATTTCACTTAGAACGTTTTGCTCCAAGAAATGGCACTACAATATTCCGTAAGTAGGCCTCTATCATACTTCATTTGGCCAATGAAACAGAAGAAATTTAACTCCTTCAATTCATTTTGTGGTGCATATCACCTTGCCAAAATGAAACATGTTGAAACCAGGGAGGAGTGTTTAGGCCTTCCTCCGAATCGCTTGAGGCTGTCTTTACAGGTGCATCTATATCTTTGTCCTAGCAATCACAATTTTCTGTTAGATAGAATTGCGTAATGTTAAGCCAACCTTCATTGGTTTCTTTTCTGAAGTATATATTAATAGGAATAATCGAACTTGAAACAGGATGCTATACCCAAAAGAATAAGGATCTCAAGAAGGATTAAAGCAATCAAATCTAATGATGCCAGTTGGAAGAAAAAGCGAGAAGATTTTAGTGACAGTGATGATGAAACAGAGGCACACCCTCCATTGGAAGAAAATGATCCTTATTTGATGAATCTTGAAGAGAGACAAGAGTGGAGGCAGAAAATTAGAGAAGTGATTAGTATGCACCCTAATATTCAAGAGGAGGTAGACCCTGTTGAAAAAAAGGAAAAAATGCAAAAGCTTCTTAAGGATTACCCCCTTGTTCTTGAGGAGGACGATCCTGACTGGCCTGAAGATGCTGATGGGTGGGGATTCAACTTGGGACAGTTTTTTGACAAGATTACCATTAAGAACAAGAAAAAGGTTGATGATGATAATGATGACAGTGATAATGAAATAGTATGGCAGGATGATAATTATATACGTCCCATCAAAGACATAAAAACTGCAGAATGGGAGGAGACTGTATTCAAAGACATAAGTCCGTTGGTAATTATTGTACACAACCGATACAAAAGGTTTGTTTTACATTCAGTCTCTGTCTATGGATATGGCTGCACACGAGTCAGGTTTCATCTCAGCTTGGTTCATATAGGGCAAAAAAAAAAAAAAGCTCATGGCCTGGTTTGGCCCACTCTTGCCAATTCTAAACTAGGTTGGGTTGGTTATGCCTACAGTGGTTTTTCTTTGTTTTCTAAAAAAGTTTTGAATTTTGAAACTTGAAAGGATCATGTTTTGTAACCATCTCATTGTTCTAATATGTCTTTTTGAGACAAGCATTCTGAAAATGAAAAAAAATCTATGGTATCGAAACTTTTCTTGATTATGGTTGGTTTTATCCTGCTGTCATTTTATTGGGTCCTTGCATATTAACTTTGTAGCTTATATGAAACAGAAAAACCATGTGCACTAGCGCACTCATGCTCTGCAGCCTCAGTTATAGTAACTGCTTAGTTTGGTAGCTAATTCTTCTTTTGGCTTTTGATTTTCTTGTTTTCTTGTTTTGGTCCAAGAAGTTTTCTCTATTTGCTGAACATTTGGTTGTTTCTATCAACTAGCTTCTTTGGATTTTGGGGTTTATTAATATGGTGCACTTGTTACCTTTTGAGATCATCATAGAGACTGTGATTCGGATAATTTGTTGTTTGGTTTGAGTCAACGGCCTGGAATTAAGGTTGATTGAATTAATGGGTATCTTAACTAGCTTTTCTTTCCCTTTTAAAATTTAAATTCAATGATGCGCCAAATGCCTTTTTTTATTATTATTTTCATTTATTCAGGATGGGGAGAGGAGAGTACATATTCTTGCATTTGTCCTTTTATGCAGTTACACATGGAATTTGAGAAAATTCTTCTAAAGGGCAAGACCTACATGTAGTCGAGGTGGGCAAACATCCCCCTCAACCCTTTAAAAGTTTTTATGGATATGGGATAAAATTTTGATATTATGCCCCCATAGTCCTTTGAAGTTTTGAACCCACTGAATTTAATGAATTTACTGAAATCACAAATGTGTTTTTAAATATTTTAATTTGAACCTATTATACCCGCACGCACACACACACATCTTCTTTTTTATCATTCCCTTCTTTTTCTCCTTTTATTTTATCTTTATTTCTTCCATTTTCCCCTCACCTCTCTATCTTTTGAGTTGCCCTTGACTTGAATTAGATTTTACACTATATTTTTCCCCTTGCACCCTTGTCCAATATTTTTTCCTATACTTTCTTATTGTTGTTGTTTAATTCATGTAGCCAATCCCACCTAGTGGGATAAGGCTTCTTGTTGTTCCTTATTGTCATATTCTTCCATTCTTCAATGTACTTTATCTGATGTGCCAAAGGCAGAACATCCAATATCTAATATTATTTGTGTATGCCGAGTTGTAGCATGATTTACATCTATACTGTATTTCCAGTCATACCCAAACTCAAGTCAAATGCTCACTTTTACTGATATTTTCTAGGCCAGAAGAGAATGAAAGAATTCTATATGAAGTGGAGAAGGCTGTTAATATTATATGGAACTGCAGATTGCCTTCGCCAAGAGTAAGCAAAGCATTATAATTATAAATGCCTCTGATTGCTGCTTCTCCATGATATCCATAATTTTCTGCCTTACAATTTATGTCATATTTCAGTGTGTTGCAATTGATGCTGTTGTTGAGACTGAACTTGTTGCTGCACTCCGAGTGTCAAGCTTCCCGGAAATCACCTTTACGAAAGCTGGGAAGATCTTGTTCCGTGAAAAAGGTAATAGCGGTTCCTTATCATACCAAGAGAGAGAATGATAAATTACATTCCCTCCTCCTGCAAATGTCCAAATTAGACTACTATGAAATCAAAAGACTGTCAAAACATCTTCAAGGATATATATTGATTTGTTTTATTAAAATTAATTTATTGAAAAAATTATTTCGTAAACTTCTATTTTAACATTATTTAGCTGATAATTTGTATTGGTTAAATATATATTTATTAATCTATTTAAGTTGTAAATGTACAAATATTTTGATCAAAATAAATATTACTGGAATTTATTTTTGTTGAAGGAGGTGTCAATTCACTTGTTTTGATTTTAAGGGACGAAACTGTACTATTTTTCCTTTACAGAGATATCTAATCTGATCTAATCTCTCTCTCTCTCTCTCCCCCCCTCACACACACACACACACACACACACAATCCAGTCATTTAAGCTGTTTATTGTTCATATGGTTACACGCTAACTCCTTTTTGGGTTCCGCGTTCTTGATTTTTTAAAAAATAAAAAATAAAACATAAATTTTCACTCATCTCATTTATTATCATTTAAGCTCTCATTTTTAATGAAATAATATTACATTTTAAGCATCTCGTGTAATTCATGAGTCGAAATTCTAATTTTTATTTCATAAGGAAGAGGAGTGTAATTTTCTCTCAGAAAACTGCACTGTTTGCCAAACAAAATTTTAGTGAGTATTGCATCGGCTATCAATTTCTTGAATAAAAACATAAAAAGCGAGTTTTTTAAAGCTCAACACTACATGATTAGCTTTTTATAACAAAAATTATCTCTGCATGCTCCATTTTTATCAGAAAAAGAACTTCACTTTTTTTTAGTTGAGTTCATGTTCCCCTCTTTCTTACCAGCTAACTAGACTTAACTTTTACCTTTGATGGTCGCAGCGATTCGAAATGCAGATGAGTTGTCAAAAATGATGGCATTCTTCTATTACGGAGCAGCAAAACCGTCATGTTTGAGTAGCATTACAGATTTCCAAGAGGCCATTCCTTCTCTTCCTATCAATAATCCGGTCTCTTGAATTATATTGACATGAAAATAGAGTTCAGTTTTTGGGCTGAAGCTGCCTTTAGCACTTTCTTGTCAGAAAGGCAAGAAATATGGATAGCACCATTTGACTGTCGTATATATTATGTAGTCATTGGTGTACACCGTACAAGTAGCATAAGTACGTCTGTCGCCTAGGAGGAAGAGGAAGTTCGAGACTGCAGAGACGATCAATTGGTAATTTATTTATTGTTTCATATGGATTTTTATTATTTGTAATCTTTTGGATTTAGAGAATATAAATTTGTAAACGTTTATTTGGTTCTAGAGCTGATAATATGGATCGGGTTTTGTGGATTGGCTGGAATAATCAGTTATAAGAATCAGATTAGGTTAGAAAAAAATAAACTCAAATAAAAACATGTTTTTTCTAGCTTGGATCATATAATCCATGAATTATATGGGTTAGAGTTGGCTCATTTAACCTATATTATTTTTAAAAAAAATTAAAAAAATAAAAATGAGAAAAATTTTGTAGATATAAATCATATTAGGCATAACTTACTTAGTTGGATTAATTTATATATTTTGTACAAACATTATAAATTAATATTTTGATATATTTATAAAAAGTTATAAAAGAATATTAAATTGAAATTTATTATTTAAATATATTTTTTAAAAAAATTTATAAAAAATAGATAAATGGATTAGTGGGTTAGCTCATTTAACCAATCAATTTTTAAGGGTTGGTTGGGTGAAAATTTTTTAAATTTATAATAAAAATAATTTGAATCCAACCCAACTCACATATGAGCCAATTTATATGGGTCAAAGGTCCATATTCTTACCTCTATTTGGTACTCTATATTTTCAATTATAAGATAACTTTAGATAAATTTTTTATCTCAAAATATAATGCAATTTGAGAAAAATAATATTTCATTAATAATATTTTTTTTAATATTACTCTTAAAATGAAGAGATAATTAAAATGATATTATAATATAATGATTAAGTATATAATGATATTTTTAAAAGTCTATAGTTTTTGCGGCTTGCCTTTCCACTCCAAGAAAATTTTTATTGTGTTATATTAATATGCATAAATTTATTCCAAATTATTTTATAATTTGGCACGGGGGAGAATTTTGTAATGTTAGATTGATGATTGCAAATTTTTTTAGTTGACCTTTTTCAAGTTACAGGAGATTCCCTTCTTCATTTGATATTTCTGAGTCCTAAGAATATGTGGTTGCAAATCTTTTCATTGGAATTTTTAAGAAAGAATTACAATTAAGAACTATCTAAGGAAATTATTTGCAAATTAAAACTAATAAAAAATAGATTTTTATTAAAATGAGAATGTAATTTGTTTTTTTAAATGAAATTTATTATTAATTTTTATTTATGAATAATTTGTTTAAGTAATCTTTAAATGTGATTCTCTTAATTTTTAATTACCAGCAATTTGGGGGGTAAAGAACCTCCTCCTAAAATGAATCGCTGCTATGTATCTGCTGTGTATCGTGGATTGCTAGGTCAGGTTGACTTCCAACGTCAAGTCTAAATAATTTTTTTTTTTGTGGGGCATAAAATAGTACTTATAAGGTGAAAGGAAAAAAAAAGGTATGACTCGTGATTATTGGCTAAAAAAAAGGATAATTCCATTTAAGATCTCTCAAAAGAAATATTCTAAGATAAAGATCAATATAAAATTATTTATTATTAAACTAATAATAGAAACTCATTTTTCTCAAATGATTATTTATGACTCATGATCATTGGGCCAAAAAAAAACAAAAGAAAAGGACTTGTGATTATGATTCTGATATAATTATTGTAATTTTGTTCTAAGAATTTATAAGTTCGATTTTTAATTTTACAATTTTATCGTGAAATATTTACAATTTATTTTTTAAATTTTAACTGAGAACAATAATGCTTATCTTTAATGTTAAAAAATATTAATTCTAAAGATGAGTATTTGTATTCCTTGTTAAAATTTTAGAAATAAATTGTAAGTACATTACAACGAAATTGCAAAATTGAGAATTGAATTTATAAATTTTTAGAGTTGTTAGACTTTTTATCATTAGAGGATCATGAGACTTTGTTGATAGTCTAAAATTGGTTAATACTTAAACTTAGACTTAATCGATCTCATTTTTTTATTTAACTTAATCCAGTTTCATTTCACTTATTAATATTAGGACCTGGCTTCCGCCATTTCCTTTTCCTCACAAACTAAGAAATTGCTAGGTGAAAGAAATCCTTTCAAGCTTTCTTTTCTTTCTACCACCGTTTTTTTAATATATCCATTCAAATTTGCTCCCAATCTTCAGTTTCTCTATTCGGTCCTACAAGAAAAACCCTAGCCATTTTTGGGTTCTCATAACTTGGTGTAATATCCTGAAATTTCATATTTTCTTCTTAGATTTTTGGTAGGTTTAAGGTCGATTGAAAGTCATTTCCAAAAGCATTTATTTGTTGCCTCCCTTTTGGTACTCAAAAACCCTGACTTCTTTTCCTAGTTGGTAAAATTTTTGATGTTTTGTACATTCTCCGAGACATTTTTGTGACTCCCCCCTCCTTTTGAATTGGTGGAATGAACAATAGAGCAAGATACCTCACCTAGGATTGGCATAGGCTGAGGTGGTGTGAACTCGAACATTGGGTTTCAGCCAAGACACCCTTATCAACAGTAGTACATGCAAAGGCATTTTTTATCACAACATCGATAGTACCATCATCATCACCAAGAACAGCAACATTAGCAGAATCAACACCATCACCACCAATAACAACAATAGTGGATGAGATGGACACAGCTGGGTGCTCCAGATGCCAATGTGGTTGACGAGGTTAAGAAGATTGCTCAGTTTGAAGCCGTTGGCCAGAGGTGCATTTATTAAAACGTTTTAATTATTATTATTTTTATCATTATTTTGCATGCATCATGACGGGTTTGCTAAATTTTTTGGTGGTAAGGTTGATGTTGAAAGTTTGTGGCTTGTTGAATTTGTGGAATTGTAACATCTAGAATTTAGCACAAATGTTTTCAATATTTCTGGCTGATGATCGAATGAGTTGAGTGTTGAAGAGAGTAACAGAGCAAAGGAATATAATAAAATGATGTATACACTCACATAAAAGCACCAACTTAAAGCGATAAACATTTTTGTATTTGGTGTAATATCCTTGTAACTTTGATACAGTTGTTGATGGTGTATACATTTAGTCTAATAACTTAATTTCATTTGGCAGTCAAGAATTTTTTAAGATTTTATTTTTTAAAAAAGGTTGGGATGGTTCTGAAATGATTTTGAGTATGGATATTTAAGGACTAAATTAAAAAGTTCAATAGCTATTTTCTATTGATTATAAACTCACTCACTCACTCACTCTCACTCACTTTCTCTCTCTCTCTCCCTCTCCCCCCCCTTTTGTCTAGTCGTAGGGGTTGGGCCTGTTGGCTGTTTAGATTGCATATATTTGTCTTTGTACATATTTATTCTTAATTTCAAAGTTTGAGTTATTATTTAGGTTGCATAGATATGAGTACAAGTATCGGATACGATATGGCATGATACAGCGATGCGGCAAATTTTAAAAATTTTAGGATATGAGTACGTAAATACATAAATTTTTATATATAAATGTAAGCAACATGTCAACTATCAAAAGTGCATAGCAATTCAACAAAATATAAAGTATTACCAAATACATTACATTTCATCATCCTCATTTTCCATTACATTACTATGCTCTCCTATAATTTCTTGCTCTAAAATGGGTTCATCAAGTGACAAGCATGCTATCTCAAGACTATTGACAACATCAAATGGCTCCATGGTGTTTCCACTAATATCCCACATTCTACTTTGCCCAATATGATACTTTTCACTCTTCTTGACAAGAGATGAAGATTAGTATGCACATAAACTAAGTCTTCAGCTCTTTTAGGAGTGATTTTGTTTCTCTTCAATTAGTAGACAAAGGAATAAGTGCTCTAATTTCTTTCACAACAAGAGGAAGAACACGGTTGACCTAGAAGTTTCAATGCAAGCCTATAAAGAATAGGGGTGAAAGAACCATAATTTAACCACCACTCTTTAAGCTCTAAATTTTACTTATCTTGCAAGCAATCAAATGATGAATAGAAGTCTAAACTTCCAACAAATTTTGAGAACTTTTGGAAGATCGCCTTTCTCTCCTCAGGATTAGTAAAGTACCTATGAAGGCACTTTACTCTCTCAAATGATATTTCATTATCTAAATGAGGAGGAACTCTATTGGGACTCACTTCAAGCCATTAGGGTATATAATACCTATAACATTTACAAATAAAAAGTATTAAGAACAAAATTAAATAATTCACGAATGATAAGCATTGCAATAATAATATAACTAACTTAGGATTTAATGGATGTGCAAGATAATGAAGGGGAGTGCAACTCTTTGTCTATCAATCAATAATGATTCTATAAACAACATTATAGAAACCTGAATACTCAAAAAGCTCCTTATTCTCATGCTTGTAAATTGACTCCTTTACTTGTTTTATCATTGAATCCCACATTTCATAAATTAAATGAAGTATGGGCTTATTTGTGTTAGCCATCCAAAGCATTTTATAAATTGGTCCAGTGAAGAAAAGTATATAATCAACCATATCCCACCAAGAATCATTAAGAATCAAATTTTTCACTATGACTGCCTTTCCATCATCATCTTCCTTATAAGCATTCCATGCTTCACTTATTACCATTGTGTGAAGTGAAGTTTTAATGAGCTTGAGTCTTTTGAGCATAACAACGGTGAATGCAAAGCTTATGTCAGCTATGGCAAGTAATTTTAATGGCATAAATTCATTAAAAATTGCCAATCGCATAGAATGACACATGATAAATGTTCCAATAAAAATAACATCATCTTTAACCTCTGCTATCCAATGACATTCATCATACACAATTTTATTTGCCTTTATGTTCTTTGTTATACATATATTCTTTAATGTAAGATTGAGCATATGCACAACACATGGCATCTAAAAAATGGTGGCATACTCAGCCTCTATAAGTCTACCTGTTGATTTACAAACAGATGCATTATCAGTGATTATTTGAACCACATTCTAAGATTTGACCTCTTTAATCACTTGATGTATCAGGTTAGCCATATAATGTTTGTCATTATATTCTTTAGATCTATCAATTGCCTTTAAAAACATAGGATACCCATCATATATAGCTATAAAATTAATCAAAGGCCTTAGCATATGTCCAATCATCTGTGATTATGCTCACTCCTTTCAAACTCTAAGTTCCTTTAATTAGTTTAAGTAACTTCTCTAT